AGTGGGAGAAAACCCAAAAAGCAAGTTCCTTGGAGTGGATGTTCTTGAGGCTGGAGAGTTGAGGCTGGTGATCTCATGCTTGGCTGGGCACTCCACCACACCAACACAATAGAAATGCTGCTTTGAAAAAACACCTTGTGTTTCCATTACCATGGTAACAGGCGGCCTTCCCTCCCTTGCCCCAACTCTTGTCTGTGGTGAGGAGGGTCCCTCCTGGCACTGAAAACAGAAGGGGCCACAAATGCAGAGTCTGGGACAGCACCCACACGTGACAAGGAAATGCTTCAGCAGCTTCAGCAGCTTCAGCAGCAATCAGATCCAGCTCACAGCAAGGCCCAGTCCCACATGATGCAACAGCCAGTCTATTGTTTGAAAACTGCTGACAGCTCCAGTAAGAACCCTTTTGCCCAACTTTCTGCAGCCTCTAATCCTGCCTCAATTTGTTATGTAACATCTTTGCTGTCTACTACAGCAAAGCTACATTTTACACCGTATCCAGCTCCCATGTAATTTTAAAGTGATTGTCTCTGTTTTGAATGGGCCGTGGCTTATTATTAACTGGTGCTGCAGCTGCTGGATACCAGGCCACCAGTGCCTTTCATTAATAAATGGACTCAGGATTAGGGCACAGAACTGGCAGTTTCAGTGAGTGCACCCAGCCAAGCAGACTAAATCTTTCCAAACTGACCTGCCCCTCAGGCAGTTGTTCCTGTGGTCACTCAGCCTCAGCACTTCCCCAGTCCTGCTCTGAAGCAGAAAGGGGCTTTCTCCTGGCTTGCTGGCAGCACACACAGTTCTGGGAAACGGTCCTGCAGGCCTTTACCTCCAAAGGGGTTTGGCCCCCAGGGAAAGCGGCTGCTGAGGGTGTGTGGCTGTGGAGTTATCTTTGAGGGGCGTGTCTACAGATACATTTTTGAGGGGGTGGGAAGAGGTTTATTTGGTGTCTTCCCTGGGTAGTGCATTGTGGTGGCTGGAGCAAGCACTGGTGGTACCATCTAGGGAGAGCTGTGTTTTTTACCCTATTGACCATCCCCATTTGATCAATAGTTAGGGGGTGTGGGTGGAGCAGAGAGGTTCGACCTGTACTATTACAAGGAAAATCATTTCTGTATAAAACAACAAGTGGTCCTGTGGCACCTTAGAAACTAACAAAAATATACAGACAGTATTGTGAGCTTTCTTGGACAAAATCCACTTCCATGAAAGCTTGTGATAGATAGATAGATAGATAGATAGATAGATAGATAGATAGATTTGGCTAGTCTCTAAGGTGCTACAGGACTACTCATTTTTTAAAGTTACAGACTAACACAGCTCCCCTTCTGACACTTTTAAACCACTTTACTCAACTATAAAGAAATATCAGCTACTTTATCCTCCAACTGCTTTATGGCATCTAACTGGCTAACTGCAAGAGATGCGTGTGTCCACTCTCTTCACTGCTAGTGCACTTTCTTTCACAATGATAGGAGCTATGTTTTGGAAAATGTCCACATCTTGAAAACCCCATTCCCCCTCCCCTCGCTTTCCTGCTCCATGATGTCCCTGTGAGAGAATTCAGGGCAAGCTGATGTATAGTGAGAGAAAGTCAGAGGAGCCGTGTCCTACTAAAGGGAACGCTTACTCTCAAATCCGCTTTGTAATTTCTCCATTCCGTTTCTCTGTCAGGTGCTTTCAAAAGATCCGTGACGGAATGCAGAAACAGAGCAGTCACTTGGAACTTTGTGGTTATTGATCTTTCAAAAATTGGTTCATTGTCAGTTGCCAAAAAAACTCTCAGAGAGAAAGTCAGAGGAGCCGTGTCCTACTAAAGGGAACGCTTACTCTCAAATCCGCTTTGTAATTTCTCCATTCCGTTTCTCTGTCAGGTGCTTTCAAAAGATCCGTGACGGAATGCAGAAACAGAGCAGTCACTTGGAACTTTGTGGTTATTGATCTTTCAAAAATTGGTTCATTGTCAGTTGCCAAAAAAACTCTCAGTGTGTTGAAAGGGTAGGGAATAATGATTTGGAATTCCATTTAATCAGTTAACCAGTTAAGTATTATGTTTAACCAGTTAAGTGCTTAAACAGGAACAGGAGCAGGAGCGGGGTCGGGGGGGCTGCTTCTGCCTAGCCATGGGTGGAGGCTGCTCTGGCTTCACCAGGCTGGAATGCTCCCCTGCCCATAGCATGGTGGATTCGGGCTGCTCCGGCTAGGCAGGGCCACCAGTTAACTGTAACCAATAGCCCTTTCCTGGTAAAGGGCGATCCTTTCCAGTTCACCAGCTAACCATTCACATCCCTAGCAAGGAACTGAGGTTGCTTGATCGGCGATCTACCTGCCTAGGCCAGTAACTGTGTTATGGTAAAGAGAGTTACAGAGTGGAATAGCACCTTCTGTGTGGCAGGGTGTTTGGACTTTGGGGGCAGTCTGGCATTGCTGCTGGATTTGCTCTAACCCAAAAGAGCAGAGCATCTCAGGCTAGGCTTAGATAAACTGTGGCAACTCCTGGGGTGCCAATCCAGATCACTGCTCCACAGTGTGTGAAGCGCTACAGAAAGCACTGGATCTAGTAAGATGATTTCTGCCGCAAAGGGAGGACGTGGAGAAGGAAGCGATGACTCTCTAGACCTGCTCAGGGTTCGCACAGCGGGATGGCTTCAGAGAAATTAAAGGGAACTGAGAAATGTGTAAAATAAGAGATACAAAATAGGTCTCAAGACTGATTATGAAGCAGGCGGGAACGAGGCTCCCATGACCTAGTTGCGATAGAACAAGAGCTGGGGGGGAACCGGAGCACACAGCAGTCCACACCTCTCACTGGGACTTAGATATGTTTGGTTCATTGGATGGGGAAAAACCCAACAGCCTTTTTCGGGTTAGAGGCCACACACAAGCGAGAAGCAAAAAACAAACCAGCCCTGACTGACGTGGCCCCTGTCTGAGAAGCAGAAAGACACTCCCCACATTTCCTTCGCACACCAGAGTCTGGGGGGCTGGGATAGGGGATTTTGGGGGCCCTCCCAGGCCAAAAATGAGGGGTTCAGTGTGTCGGAGGAGGTTGCCAGGAAATAGGCTTGGGGTGTCTGGGCAGGAGGGAAGGTGCAGGACTGGGTTGGGGTCTGGGAGTGTGGTCGGGGGCAGGAGTGCACCAGGCAGGAGGTAGGGTGCAGGGACTGGGTGGGAAGATGGGTGCAGGAGTGTAGTTGCAGTGCCAGGCTGGTTGGGAAGGTGAGTGGAGGAATGGGCTGGGAGAGGGGGTCTCTGGGTGAGAGGCAGAGTGCAGGAACCACTTCCTCTTCATACCAGGACTGGCCTGTGGGTCAGATTTGGACCCAACTTGCCTGTTTCTAGCCTGCGAGACTCGGAGCTCCCCCACCTTCAGCGGGGAGCTGGCACTAGTGCTCCAGTCCTGTGGGGGCAAAACAGCTGGGGGGCTGCCGCACCAGCAGAGGCTCCCCAATGCTGGGTGGGGAGCCCTGAGTCTCAGGAGCTGGTTCCAGACAACCTGGGGTCTAGATTTGACCACTGGGCCTTAGCTTCCCCAGCCCTGAAAGCACAGATGTCAGGGGCCATATCTGAACAGTGCCATGGATGCTTGAGGAGTTCACCTGTCTGGTAACATGTATCTGTACTATTCAGAGCCAAGATGAGCCATACGCTCCCGGGCACCCCTCTCCTGGCAGCCCTAACGGGGCACGCTCATTTCTACTTAACGAGTCTGAAAGGAGAAAAGCTGGCATTTCACCAGCACGGATTCTGTTTTTAGTAACCACCTGAGTGGAATCATCTGTTCTCAGTGGAAAGCGCGCTGTTCCCTGAAAGGGGAGTCATTTCAGAGAGTTTAGATCCATGGCTAATCTGTGATGTGGTACGAGATACAGCTGTTAAAAGAGCATTCCTGGCTTCTCCCCTGGCTGCGCATCAACCAGGTTTTAGAAGTGATGCTGTAGCAGGCAGGAGGAAAGGATGCGGGGGAGCAGCACTGGCTCCGGCACTGAGCTCTAAGAGAGAGAGGAAGAATGTGCCCCCCTTGGGACAGAGGCGTCTCTGGGTAATCACTTGATGCCCCCCGGAACCTAGTTCACATCCTGTTTGAAATTTATGGAATAAAATGGGGGGGATGGGGATGGAGGAAACACAGCACAATCCAAGACCATGTCCATCTCCTGGTTAAGATAGTTGGCAGGGGTGTGTAGGGGCCTCGTTTCCTGTTCTATCTTCATTGGTCCCACTACTTTCATTTACATGACTTTGCTGAGTTCCAGCAGCTTGTGGAGTGGGATGCAGATCTCCTCGGCGCAGACGCTGAAGCCGACACCCAGTGAATAACTCCGGCCAGGAAAAGCCCTCGTGCCCACCTGGGTTCTTGTTTTTCCAGCCCCTGCCTGTCCAATCTGCATTTGAGAACAAACCAACTTGGAACGTTGGCAGAGATGCCGCGGCAGATGCCTTGCTAGCAACAGCAGCACAGCAGGGCTTCCTGATCCTCTGAGGCACAGGCCTTGTCAAACATGTCAATGTGCACGTGAACAGCTATTGCAGCGCATACAAGTGTCCAGCAAACTGATGCAACTATGCTTCCCCAGGGCAAGCCCTACCCTCCAGGACCCTACTGACCTGCATGGTGTGGGTGCCTTTAAGAACCACGAGGACTGATCGCTTGGCCCTTTTATGCACCTCTAAGAACAGCTTCACAAACATGTCTTTGGAGTGGCTGCTGGACTGGAGCTGGTCACTGGATGGACTCCGAGACTTTATAGCTACAGGGATCCAGTCCTTCCGGGACTGTGACACCACTGCTCTGACAGCTGTGGCCTGCCTCTTGGTCCTGTTTGTTTGGTACTGTTACCATGTTGGCAGAGAGCAGCCCCGCACATACGTCACTGTGAATTCCCTCATGCAGAGCTCCGATCCCAACAGCTTACAGAACGGGTATGTTTACTGCCATTCCCCCGAGTGCGTGCGCTGCACACGGCATGACGGGCTTAACCAGAAACTCTATCACAATCTGCAGGAATATGCCAAGCGCTACTCCTGGTCTGGCATGGGCAGGATTCACAAGGGCATCCGAGAGCAAGGGCGCTACCTAAACAGCAGGCCATCCATCCAGAAGCCAGAAGTCTTCTTCCTACCGGACTTGCCCACAATGCCCTATTTCTCACGGGAGGCTCAAAAACACGATGTGGAGTTGCTGGAACGCAACTTCCAGACCATCCTGTGTGAATTCGAGACTCTCTACAAAGCTTTCTCCAACTGCAGCCTCCCGCAAGGATGGAAAATGAACAGCACGCCCAGTGGGGAGTGGTTCACCTTTTACCTGGTGAACCAGGGCACCTGCGTCCCCAGGAACTGCAGGAAGTGCCCACGGACGTATCGCTTACTGGGGAGCCTCCGCACCTACATTGGCAACAACGTCTTTGGGAACGCATGCATCTCTGTGCTGACCCCTGGCACGGTCATTGCGGAGCACTATGGACCAACCAACATCCGCATACGATGCCATTTAGGTATGTACCCAGTAGAAGTAGGGAAGAGCTACAGGTATTTTGTTTCCTTCTTTGATGCTAAACCTGATGTTCATTCTTCCAAGGCTGCGGAACTTAGGAGAGCCTGCTGCATTTTAAAGTACTGAGTTCCTATCCTGGCAGGCTTAGTCTGTTCTCAAAGTATAAGGAGAATGTCAAGACCGTCCTATGAAGGATGAAAAACTGATACAAGGATTAGATGTAGGGAGCTAGGGCAGGGTAGTCACAATTCTTTGATGCTAAACCTGATGTTCATTCTTCCAAGGCTGCGGAACTTAGGAGAGCCTGCTGCATTTTAAAGTACTGAGTTCCTATCCTGGCAGGCTTAGTCTGTTCTCAAAGTATAAGGAGAATGTCAAGACCGTCCTATGAAGGATGAAAAACTGATACAAGGATTAGATGTAGGGAGCTAGGGCAGGGTAGTCACAACAAGGAAACTAGTAAGCTTAGATTTTAGGAGACCGCTATGGAGTCAGAGAAATGGGGCAACGAAGCAGTGAGCCTCTGGGTGAAGGAGCATGACTGCAGACCCTCCTCTGTAACTCTTAGGGAGGAGGCTAAGGGTCCGGGGGCATGACCCAGCTACTCTTCTTGGTCCCTGCTAGCTGTGCGCCAGTGCTCGGATTGTGCATGACATCCAAAGCCACCGAGGATTCGGACCATGGTCTCTGTCTGCAGGAGCTGATCCTGGGCTTTTGCCAGATCTTTAGCACAAAAGGAAAGTTAAATAAGCCAGAGCTCCCACTGGGTGCAGCGGCAAGGGCTCCAGCCACCCCAAGCTGCCTAGAGCGCTCCTTGGTCTCCAGCTCGGCAGCCAAAGGGTTTCTGTTCTGCACCCCCATCAAAAAAAATCAGACCCTTTAAAATCACATGGCTAGACAGAGCTTAGCGGACTGCAAACTGGGGGGAAGGGGAGATACGCTTATTTCCTGGCAGGCTGTGAAGTGAGGGGGCCATTCTGGGCTACTCCAGAGGCTGGAGAACCATGGCGTTAGATACCGTCCCTCCATGTGCACCAGAGCAGAGGCTGAGTGGCTGTGGAGGCTGTGCCCCTCCTGCAGCTCCATCAGCTGGGGCAGGGATGCTGCACGCGTGGCTCAGGGTTTGCTGCTGGGAAATGACTGTCATGTGGAAGGGTCTGCCTCCAAGCAGAAGCCTCAGAGGGGGCAGCTTGAATGGATGCTGCAGGGGCCTGGTTTTGAGCACATCCGCACGGGGAGGAGCACCCCAGCTAGTATCTGGCCTCTGGAGAATGGCCTCTGAGCAGAGCCCAACACCTACAGCACAAAGAGCTGAAAGCCTGGATTGCTGTCTATTCCCGGGAGCCCGCTAGCCCTCAGCACAGCCCAGACTGGGGTAGTGTCCGTGCCGCACAGAGCCAGGAGTCTGGAATATGGACAGCAGACAAGTCTGTGGTGGGGGAAGAATCTGCATGTGGCCCTGCCACACAACTGGCCAGCTGCCTCCACTGGCACCGTCCCCCTCCCCCAATCCCCCAGCACTTGCTTGTTGTTTTTAAGTTAGACACAAGCTTCAAAGCATCTCTCTAGCCCCAGAGGTTTACCAGGCCAGCTAGAGCCATGCTTCCCCCCACCCCTGCCCCTTGAGCCCAGCTGGGGAGCTGGCTGGGTCTGGTGTGGGGCTTGGCTGGAGAAAGACATAGAACTCTGACTCAACTTCCCCATCTTCTCTGCTTTGGAAAGGGTTGGCCGAGGCATGTAGCAGTGATGCAAGTACTAGACACCACCTGCCACGGCTCCTGCCTGCTCAGCCTGGCTGGCCGTGTAGCCTGCCCCATAAAGTCAGGGCAGCAGCATCCTAGAAGGCATCCCAGCCAGGGGCCTGGCTCTCAGCAGCACAGAACCTCCTCGTCTCAGGCCTCACCCCTGGACTCTGTGCCCCTGGGGTAGGAGCTGCAGCCTCAGCATTGCCTTGGGCTGCTAAACTTCAGCTCACCTGGCTTGTGTGCAAGCCAAGGGCCATCTGCGATGGAGGCTGGTCAGCTCAGAGCCACTCGGGCGAGGGGAGTAGCCCAGTGGGGTACAGGCATGACAGGAGCAGCACCGCCTGGGTCATGGCCTGGCCTATGTTGTGCCCTTCCCTCCTCCCCCTGTGGAGCTGGGGAGGAAGATTGCACCAGCAGGGCTGGGCTGTTCTTTGTGGCATTTCCCGGACCCCTCCTTCATGTGCTCTGAGAGCACTGGGCCTAGGCCAGGGCACCCTAGAGTGCTCCCCATGTGTTTAACTCTTCCCTGCCATAGCACTTTGGTCCCGGCTCCCGCAGTGGGGAGCAGAGACCCCTACGAAGCTCCCCTGTGCTCTTGCAGCTCCACCACCAGCGTGCACTGCCTTGGGGAGCCTGCCCTTGGAGAAGGCAAAGCTCCCTTGGAGCGTGAGCATGTTGCTGAATGGCCTCACTGCACCCTCTCTTGGCACAAGTTCCTGGCTCCCCTCCCTGGATGCCCAGGGCCAGGGGCAGAGCCCAGTTCCAGCCTCTCCCCTCCAGCCAGAGGGTGTCAGCCGGGCACTGCTGAGCCCATCTCCTAAGCCATGGATCCTGCTACCCAAGCGGATTTGGATGGAGGACGCTGTGCGCAGACGGAACCAGGGATTGTTTTGCAGTCTCTGAACGTACATCAAAGAGACATGAACTCACTCTCCTGCGTGGCTGGGAGCCCTGCTGTGCCCATGTGGCTTTGACATCAGGCAGCCCCCTGTGGTGGGTTAGCTGAATGCCTGGGGCCTGCAGCAGCATCTGAACAGCTGCCAGCTGTTAGCACTGAGATCCAGGACTGGCCATGCTCCCCCCCCATTCCTCTGTAGCAGCCAGACCTCCAGGATGTACTGAGGGGTGGTGCTTTCACAAACCAAAAGAGACAAAATCAAGGAGTCAGCTGCTTGCTGTGTGTCTTGGGTGTATTAATGGCCCAAAAAGAGTCCAGGGGGTCATTGGTCAGGCAGTAGTGTCATGTTTAGCTGGGCCTTTCTGTGTTTCTCCGCATGAAGGAAGATGTAAGGCCCTGTCACCATGGTAGCAGAGCAGTTCTCACACACTGCTGAATTTTGACCTTGCAGCTGTGGTGGGAGGGGCACTGCTAGCCCCATGATATAGAGGGAGATCTCAGCCACCAGCCAGATTCAAGGGCTGGGCCAAGGCAGCCTGTGACTGAGGCAAGAATTGAACCCGGTCTCTTGAGAGTCGCAGTCCAGTTCCCACCCCTTGGACTAGTGCAGAACATCTTTGCTTGCCTCAAATATTCAGTCCACAGCCAGAGAAATGCACCAGGTTCCTGCTTCAGGCCTGTCCTTTGTGCTTTGAGCACTGCCCCCTCAAATGAGTCGCACAGGAAATGAGTCTGTGGTAGCAAGCGAGTCCCTGGCAGGCCCTGAAATACACCCCACCTTCAGTTATCATCCGGGGCTGTGCAGCTGCCGGGTACTGGACTGGGGGGGAGCAGTGGGGAGAGAAGGTAGGCCAGGACGGAGCTGCATTGGCTGAGCTGGGTGGGAACAGAGCCAGGCCTGGAATACGATGTGGAAACCTCCATGGAGCTCCTGCCTAAGTTCCAAGCACTGCAGACCGGGTGTAGCATTTCTGGCAAAGCTCCTCTTTACATCAATCCACTTCTGGCTCAGTGCTGGCCCCTGCTGAGAACCATACACGTCTGGGACGTGGACAGAAGCAGCTCCTTGCACTCCATCCCTGGCTGCAGTACAAGCCACCTCCCCCTTCGCTTCTCCCCCCCTCCCCTCCTCGCAGAACAGCTGCTTGGATTTCAGCCCTTGGGCTGAGTCAGTTTCCTCCTCAGGCTCTCCTGGCCCTTAAGTGCCAGGGCAGGCTGGGCTGGGCAGCTGCTGGTGGCTGTCCAGCACCTCACGGCTCTGCCGGGTGAGAAGGGATTCGGGCTTCAGGCTGGTGGAGCTCAGTGAGATGGGATTGTGATGAAATAGGGGGGCTGGAGATGCACAGCACAGCAGCCTGAGTGATGAGGGAGGCTGGCAGAAATCCCTATTGCCAGGGCTTGGCCATGTATCCCAGTCCACAGCTCTCACACAGGGCTCAGTTGGTCCCTAAGGAAAAGGGCCAGTTTAGCCACCTAGACGCTGCTTCCCACAACTCAGCCCCTCCTCTTCTCTCTCCTGTGTTGTGTACCTCAAGGGCTGAAGACTCCCAGCAACTGTGAGCTGGTGGTGGGCGGCGAGCCCCAGTGCTGGGCCAAGGGCCGATGCCTCCTGTTTGACGATTCCTTCCTGCACACTGCGTTTCATGAAGGCAAGTACAGCATGCCCCACCCTGCCCCTGCCAGCTCCCTGTGCCTTGGCAGGCCTTGCCATCTGCCTCCCTCCGCTCGCATGCGCCCCTCCAGCCTCCTCCAGCCTCAGCTAGAGAGGGACACGCTGGGGCAAGTACAGCAGAATCACATCCCAGCCTCGCCTCCAAGGCCTGGAAAAGCTTGGGTCAATGGCTTGGCTTTCCCTGCACCCCTTGGTCCCAAACACTGGGAATGGGCAGCAGCTCTGACCCAATCAGTGGAATCTCAGTGAAACCTCGTCCCTGCAGATTCTGCACCCAGACCCTTCCTCAGAGAAATGTTAGGTATTTACCCAACCCCAGCCTTGCGTGGCTCACCCGTCACTAATCCTCCTAGAGAGGAGACACTCAGCATCCTAAGGACCCAGGGCCCAGTCTCCTTGGCTGAATCAGCTGCTCAGCCTGGTGTGTGTTTGTATTAATGTGTCTGTGACTGTTTCAACTTTGCAGAATTGTCACCAGCCTTAACCAGCCCAGGCCTGAGGCCACTTTGTCTGCCTTTCCCATGGCCACAGGGAGCATGAAACCTGTATGTGGCAGAAGTGTTGCCAAACTGCGGTGGGGTAAATGCAAAGGGCAGCCATGCCCTGATTCCCACTGTACCCGGGAGCCAGCTAGCACCACACAAGCTGCTTTTCTGGCCAGTAACAATGACAGGCAGCACCAGGGACAGGTCAGGATAGGGCAAATGGTGTGATGTGTTTGATATGCCAAATAGCCCCTTTACTTTGAACCAGCAAGTGATGCTCCAACGCTGACACTACCTCCTCCCTTATCTCTGAGAGCACTGGTCCCCAACCAGTCACCCAGCTCTTCTGCCATTTCCTTAG